ATGGTTGGCTTTGCTTGGAAGCATGGAGGAAATGATTCATCTGTGTTGACCTTCCTCTTTGTAGACTGGACACTGGTTCAAGTCCATCTGGTGGGGTCTCCTCAGCCTCCTTGATCAAGAGGACAGGTGACCCACCACAATTACAGGACATTTTGAGAGATGCTCATAGTCCCCTGGAACTAGTTGACCTAGGAAGGCAAGGAAAAAACTGTCCTTTATGTCCCTCTGCTAAAATTATTATAGGCCTCAAAGTATGCCTGTTAAACACCCAAGAAGGTTAGTTCTACCAGTCTGGTCCTTATAATTACTGTGTGTCATGTAGATAAATCTTGTGTAAAGACCAGTTGTTCTAGGATAAACCTTACCTAGCCATATATTTTTTGATATGCTATGTATAATTTGTCAGTAGGTTGTTGGAGTAATATGGTTCCCTCTGGTTTTCAAAACTAGCTAGGCATTGTTTATCTCTTACATTGTCTCACTCCTCCATCACGGTTTTCCCACTTAAGGTGCCCCCATTTCCCCCCTTTCTCCCTTACTAATACCCTTCTCCTACAGTCTACCTCTCTTGAGCTCCTTCTTTTCCTTAATCCCCTAGGTTCCTTGTATACCCTTTCCTCCCTCCTCCCTTAAGCTAACCCAATTTTTATCTACATCTCCATTATTAAGGCTTGTTTCCTACTGTTCTTCTCTTTCAGGTTCTTTCTTTTCCATTACCTCCTTGTTTCCTTTCCATTATCCTGGTTCCTGTAGTTATGTCTGGTTGTAAACTTATTTATCAGAGTCTGCTTCTAGGATCCACATATGAGCGAGAACCTATGTCGATTTTTTTTTCTGAGTCTGTGTTACTTCACTTAATATAACAGTTTCTAGTTCCATCCATTTACCTACAAATTTCATGATTTAATCTTTCTTTACTGCTGAGTAAAACTCCATCATATAAATGAACCACATTTTCATTATCCACTCATCAATTGAGGGACACTTAGGTTGCTTCCATCTCTTAGCTATTGTGAAAAGAACAGCAACAAACATGGATGTACAAGTGTCTCTGCAATAGGATGAGTTCTTTGGGCGTATGCCAAGGAGTGGTATAATTGGGTCAAGTGGCAGGTTCATTTGTAGTTTTTTCAGAGTTCTCCACACTGCTTTTCATAGGGATTGAACCAGTTTGCAGCCCCAGCAGCAGTGGATGAGTGTTCCCCTTTCCCCACATCCCCTCCAACATTTGGTATCATTTGTTCTCTTGATCTTAGCCAGTCTGACTGGGGTAAAGATGAAATCTTAAAGTGGTTTTAATTTGCATTTCCCTGATTATTAGTGAAATTGAACATCTTTTAAGATGTTTCATAGCCATCTTTACTTCTTCTTTTGAGAACTCTCTGTTCAGCTCCTTAGCCCATCTTTTAATTGGGTTGCTTCTTGTCTTGGTTCTCTGTTTTTTTTGAGTTCGTTATATATTCTTGTTATTAAACCTCTGTCAGATGTGTGGCTGGTGATGATTTTCTCCCATTCTATGGGTTTTCTGTTTGGGAAGCATATTATTTTTTAAAAACCTTCCTTTGAATGTTTTTTCATGTCAGGTAAGATTTGACAAGTCTCTCATAATTATCTTATGAACCAAATTAAGAAACGTGGTTGAGAAGGAAGTAGCATTCACATGCATTTGCACATGACTTGATTATCATGTCACAAGCACACCAATGGTAGAAAAAACAATGGCAGGCCATACTGGTGGTACCTGGGTCATCAAGCCCTGACCTGTTTAGAATTTATTAATGATTTGAGTAACAGAAAACATAAAGTGCTATTTCACTGGAAAATAGGATTCTTGTATTCAACAACAACGAAACCAACAAAAGAATGCCCAAATCATAAAATATATAACATTAGAGACCCAAATTCAGAAAATTAAATATAATAAGGATTTACCTACACTGAGATACAAGGAGGCAATGGCGAAGAACTGACTTGACAAATGTCTTCACTAAAACCAGGAGGAAATATTAAACTGACCACAGATTAGGGCAAATGAAGCATCATAAGCAAGAAGCATCATAGACTGCAGCAGAAGTACACCATCAATGACATGGGGCCCAGTTGCCACATAGTTGTAACCTATATAAGACCATACATGTCTAGTCCCATTCTTGACACCTGCAGAAAGTCAATTGGTTTTTCCTAGGATATACTTCCAGCTTAGAGTGGGCCCAGGAATCCATGTAATAGAAGAAACAGTCAAGAGAATTGGTACTTTTTTAACCCAAGAAAGGTTAATAATAATAAACCCTAGTAAATTGGTCTTCAAATATTTGAAGGACACTTATGTATTTTAGGGAACAGATATATTTCACAGAGGGTCCAATGGGAATAATAAATGAGAATGATGTAAAATACACAGGAACAATAAAAGAAAATGTGAACTCTAAGTCAAGAGCCGAAAGCAAGTCACCTAAAGGCATAAGTTACAGACTCTTCATCTATACAGTTGTAGAGTTAGTTAATAATACCTGCTCTATGCAGCACAAAGACTTTTCATATACAATCATATGAGAAAGTACATAAAATGCTGTAAGACTTCAGAATTAATTGAAAGGATTAACAATATAAGTAAGCTTTAATAAGATGATATCCAGAGTCCAAGGGACTCGGACCAGTTTCCAGAGTCCTGCAGGACATCCTACTGAATAAGATTGAACTCAGGTTATACCCAGAATTACTGCCATATTTCCAATTGCAATTGCCAGTATTTGCTGTCTGTCTTATAATCACTAAAGTCAATAAATAGTAATGAAAGAAAGGAGTTCCAAACAGTCACTAAAGTCAATAATTTAAATTGCCTCAAGAATGCAGCTAATAACCAGAGTTTTTACAGAATTTGTGGCAGGCTGGACTTCCACAGAGATACTCATGAACTTAACTAAAAAAATGAAAAATAAAATGAAAATATTCTGGAGCAAATTAGGACTAATTCACTTTATCAAAATACCTGTACATTTGTGCTGATGCTTTTGGACATATATAGATTTTTCTGAAGTAAAACTTCGAACAGAATCTCTAATCTTGAATTTCTCTTTGAAGTTTATATGCTATGGCTCCCTGTATGCTACATTTTGCTTTTATTTTCTTTAGTCTCAGAAATAATTAACCTCTGAGTTAGTAAACACCATCAGCTATTCCAAGTTTACTTACCCTTTGACCTTCTTTTCCAGGTGGTCCTTGGGGGCCTTGCATCCCCGTGGAACCCTACGATGAAAATGGAACACGTGTTAACAGACTGGTTCAAGTACTTCTGCCTCAAAAACAATGTTGTAGAAATTGATACCTATTTAATTGATTAGACCGAAGGTTTTTAAGTGATTTGATCTCTTCTATGATTAGCTCTGCAATATTTTGAGAATAGATTGCTCTTCCTTAGCTGTCTTATCTTTGTAACTAATTTCAAAAAAAGAGTAAAGAACAGTTCAAGTCAGATTAGAGGTTAAACATTCACTCTCCATTAGTACATCTCTTGTGACTGAAACTACATTTTGCCAAACCACCATAAATAGATGGTAACAATATCTGTAAGCAGGAAAGG